GAATGAAGCCGATATTTCAGTTAAAATACATAAGTTAAAATATTTATCCAAGTATAATACTACCTCCCAACTTTATGGATGATTTTATGGATTTAAATTTACGTATTATACTTGAATAAATACGGTAAGTTCATGGGACTGTAGCCACCCTCCCAGGACATGGATGCAAGAGGAAATGCAACCCCAGGTTGATGAAATGGATGGTAGAAAAAGAGCCAATTAATTCAAAAGCACTCAGATCTCCAAGGTTACTTTCTGACCACAGCATCTGCCTCATATGAACCATGATGACAAAAAACAGTAAAAAAGCCAGTCAGACGTTAACTGACACACAAGTAGACAAGAACCCGTTTGTGAGACTGATGAGAAAAAAAATACTTTTGGCCTCAGTCATATCAGCTTTTATGTGTTGTTTTACTGTGAAAGGGTGCCAACAAATATATTCCTGTCAGTAAACACATTTTATGTTTTAATTCTTTCAGTTTGTGTTAAATTATTCATAATGCTGGACTGATCAAGACTTGTGTTTTTACACTTCACACTGTGGGAATGGTTCAAATGAAAGTTCATAAAGACAATAAATGTATTTCTTTTTGCTGCCCTCCATGTTCAGGTTGGTTAGTTTTATGAATTTCTTCCAAACTCCCTTTCAGAGAATCATTCTGAGGTGATGAGACACTTCTTCCACTGAAAGCAGGATGTTGAAGTAGACTCAGCTTGAGTCACTGAGACAACAGCTGGACTCAGCTGGCTGACTGGGTGTGTCTGAACACACACACACACACACACACACACACACACGCACACCTGCAGATTCTTTGACTGGTCTCTGCTTGTAAAGTTATTTATTTTGTTGCCAGAATCTCTGCTCAGACCAAACAGATCAGATCCAGTTCACGGTTCACTTATTCACCTCTGCTAGACTTTCTGTTCAGTTTCCTTTGAAATTTTTTTAATTTTAATCTGATTTAAAACAACTATTTAAAAATACTTCAGATTAATGCTGTTTCATGGGATTTCTTTTTTAATTAAAACAAACACTGCAAAAACTGTCCACCTAACCAAGTTTTAAACCTTATATCAGCCAAAAAGTCTTTTTGATCTTGTTTTCAGACTGATTTACTAAACAAGAACTGATTGTGTAAGAATAATCATCTTGTTTTCAGAATGTGTAAGAT